TTTACTATTCTTTATCACACATGTGGATAATATAACCTTGGAATAAATTATGGAATTACAATGTTTACCTGAAAGTAAAGTTGGAAAAATTCACCAAGATACTGAAATGCATAAACTAAGATAAGTTATTAATGTGATGTGTTTTCATGCCTTTCAAATATTAGATATCAAGAATTTTCTTAGAAAATTTAAATATTTAAGCTCCATGTTTATTAGGTCTTAATATTTTAGTGGTATTGTTTAAAGTTTATTTTTTTCCAGTCTTTGATATTGGGTATAATCCGTCACTTATTTTCTGCCTTCCAACCCTGTTCCTTCCTCAATAGAACAGGAGCTGACGGGACTGGTGGTGTGGGTGACTGGAGCATCCAGTGGGATTGGCGAGGAGCTGGCTTACCAGCTGTCTAAACTGGGAGTTTCTCTTGTGTTGTCAGCCAGAAGAGTGCATGAGCTGGAGAGGGTGAAAAGAAAATGCCTAGGTGAGTGAACCTAAAACAGCAGCTGTGCTTCCTAGACGTCAGGCACACTGCAAACTCAAGTGCAGCCTGGAATTGCAGAGATGGGCTTCTCCTGCCAGTGCACCCTGGCTCCAATGCTCCAAGTGCTGGCCCCTGGCCCTTTTCTCCTGTCGCATCTTAGTTGGCTTCCCTACATCTTTCCTGCCTCATTTTGTCAGCTTTCTACTCTTTTTTGCCCTGACTCTTGACAGTAGGAAGTGACTGTCTATTCTGTCCAGTGCTGGTGACTTTTTAGTGACAATGTGACTTATATTTTGTCTTCCAGAAAGAACAGTTTCTTTCTTTCTTTCTTTCTTTCTTTCTTTCTTTCTTTCTTTCTTTCTTTCTTTCTTTCTTTCTTTCTTTCTTTCTTTTTTTTTGTAATAACAGTTTGTTTCTTATCCATGACATTCATGTATGTAACCACTGAAAGTGGGTAGGATGGATCCTTACTCATTCTGCTAAAATATTAGATATTATTGCCACAAGGAAGCATGTAATATTCTATTGTGTGTGTGCATATTGTATATACACATATATATATATAAGTTTCTTATCCATTCATCTACTGAAGGGCACCTAGGTTGGTTTTGAAGTTTAGCTATTGTGAATTGTGCTGCAATAAGCATTGATGTGGCTGTGTCCCTGTAGTATGCTCTATTTAAGTCCTTTGGGTATAGACTGAGGAATGGGATAGCTGAGTCAAATGGTAGTTCCATTCCCAGTTTTCCAAGCAATTTCCACACTGCTTTCCAGATTGACTATATGAATTTGCAGTTCCACCAGCAATGTATGAATGTGCCTTTTTTCCCACATCCTCTGATAAACCCAGCCTAATTCCCTCTTAAGATTGAGAGCCATTTCATCACAAAGGCACGAAAAGTTAATTTCGGCTTTATTATAAATTACTGCGATTTCTAAACTTGCTTGGAATGGCTGCTCATGCCTTGAACTCATCCATGCCTGGCATTCCCTGATTAGATAACAACCCTCTCTGAAACCTTAGCGGTGCCTCAAAAATTCTGGTGTTGGGATCTAAATTACTCCCTAACTTGAAGTTTTGAACCATTTAGATCATTAACCTCCTATCTGCTTTTTTATTATGCTTGTCAAAATCCTGTTATCTGTAAGTTTTCAAGACACCCCCCTTTTGCAACTTTTCGTGCTATAAAACCATACTTCAAGAGAGTTGGGGTACTGTCCTCTAACCCAAGGATTTTGGGAGAGACAGTCCCAGCTAGTTGGAATTACACCTTGCTTTAATTTGATTTAAAATTGGAGTCGGTGATCTTTGTGTCATGGTTTAACATAAGCCACCTGAGAAAGTAAAGTCTAGAATAATTAGTGAAGAACAAAAGACAATGTCAGAGTTAGTTCTAAAGGGATGGAGCACCTGATAGGTCCACTCCACACAGGAGCTAGTGCTATACAATTAGAAAATGGCCCCTGTGGTTTATTTAAGGGGGCACATTAAAGGCAAGGATAAAGTTTTGGGGGAGGAATATTGCTTTGTGATTTCTTGAAGTCAGCAGGCTGATTGACATCTTGGCAGGTCACACCCATATCAGAGGAGCTGTGCTTCTACAGCACGTCACCCCATCTCTGGTGCTGCATGGGACCTTTGACAGAGCTGAATAAGGCTCACAATGTGTCTGGGCAGTCAGCCAGAGGAAATGTCTACTGGAAATTCCCAGACACCAAATTCTCCTATTCATTAGGCTTCCATCTTCAATGTGGTCTACACGCAGCACACAGATGGTTCTTGCCACGAGGGTGTGTGCTAAACTGAGAGTAGCAAGGAGCATAGTGGATCTATGTCATGCTGTCCCCACTAATTTTTAAATGTCTCTATTTAGACAATGGAAATTTAAAAGAAAAAGATATATTCATTTTGCCCTTTGACCTGGCTAACATAAGTTCCCATGAGGTGGCAACTAAAGCTGTTCTCCAGGAGTTTGGTAGGGTAAGTAGCAATTTATATTCACAAAGCATTAACAACATTGCTCTGTCTGGCTTTGAAATAACCAGAAAGGAAGGATATTTCCATCTATGGTGCTTTCATTGTAAGAACTTTAGGCACATGAGGTGAGATCAGGCCTATGAGTTGGGCTAATTAATCATTGAGTCTATGTCTTTAGGTAATTAATAATTTTTACATCATACCAATTACTAATTGCTCCCTGTAGACAGAAAGAAGGTGCTATTATAATTTTTTTGACATTTATTATTTTCTATAAAAATTTACATAAAATGGGAGTACCATAGTTGCATTGTGATTATTTTATTATGATTTTGTTTTGTTTTCACTACTAAATTCTATAAATATAAAATTGTTTCATTGGTTTTTCATGTTAATGACATAAGCAAACATGATAAGGAATTCTTTCAATCCATCCATAGGATAACCTTAAGCATCTCTTTTCTGGTTTTATCTTATTAGATTGATGTTCTGGTCAACAATGCTGGAAAAGCACACTCTTCTTTGATTGTTAATACCAAGATGGATTTCTTCAAGGAGCTAATTGAGCTTAACTACTTAGGAACAGTGTCTTTGACAAAATGTGTTCTTCCTCACATGATTGAGAGGAAACAAGGAAAGATAGTTATTGTGAATAGCCTGGTGAGCTTTGTACCTATACCAATAGCCAGTGGATATTGTGCCAGCAAGCAAGCTCTTCTGGTAAGCCTGCTAAAACTCAGCTTTGATAAAAACTGACCCAAATGAGGAATATGACTATCCATGGATTTAGGCAATAATGTGGGGAAACAGAAATAGGAGAACTTTGGTAAAAGATATCCCCAGTACATGATTAAAAAAAATAAAAATAAAAGACTTGAATCACAGGTGCTACAAACTGTCCAACAAGTATATATTGAACACTGATACTGTGCCATACATTGAAGCAGATCCTGGGAATATTAAAATGATTTTGCTCTTATAAAGCATATATAATCTAGTCAGCATGTCACCCTTCACCTTATCCCTATTTCTACCTCATCCTCGTGGTAGACTGTGAGTCCTCTGCTCCATTCTTCTACACAGATTTCAGGATGTGCTTTTTTCTCCCATTACTGTGACTTCTTTTCCTTTCCCTTTTTACTTGCTTTCATGAAAGTGAAAAAAGATACTGCCAGCTGGTTGCTTAGTCCTGGGCTTCATATCCCTACTGGGAAAAATCCAGATTCTGTCCACATGGGTTCTATTGAAAAAAGAAATCTTAACAAAGGCCAAGGCCAGGAAAAGAGCTTGACTTGAGTTTCCTAACTAATGAGGTGTAAGTGTGGATATTAAAGAACATAGAAGGCAAATCGGAGGAGAATGATTAAAGCAGACCCAGAATATAAAAGTAATACTGTTGAAGGTCAGTTTGAATCCAATGTTTCACTGTTGGAATAATAAAAGGCAATAGCTGCATGGCCACCTCACTCTCATGAGAACATGAGACTTTGGTTCATTAGGACATTTGTCTTTTCATTAGAGATCAGAAATTTTCAGTGAGTGATGATATGGAATGCAGTACTTATGATTTTCTCCTGTTCAGCAATGGGCCGTCAATCATCTCTTACAGAGAAACTTGGGCAAACCTCAGGTGGGCAGATGTGGCCAGTGCCAGTAGTCTCATAAGATGTGCAGGATGCTCCCAGTAAATCACAGATGAACTGTCCGGCCTGCCTCCAAGACTCTCTGTTAATTACTAGATTTGATCTTCTGATATGATGTGGTAGACTGAGACTCTGGTTAGTATTACCACTAGTTGAACACTACTTTCTTTGTGAAGAGCTCAATTTCTTCTAAGATTTCCAGCAGGTCATGAAGTGAACATGTTTCACTGAAAAGTTTACATGTTATAGTAGATGGTATTTCCAACAAGAGGTTTGTACCATCTTAAGAGACACGTCTCAGTGTTTGATGAGTGGCTGGCTTGATGTCTTTTCTGCTTTTACTATTGAGAGGCAGAATTTAAAGGTTTGAGAGCTCTTTATTTATTTACAAAGCATTCATTTCTCACAGGCCCTGTGTCAGTCTCAGATGGCAGGAACCCTCTGAATGCTCATGAGGCCCAGGATTAATCATGCATCTCATAGTTTGTTAGGGGTTAGCATTTAAGAACTGGTAACTGAATAATGATATTGGATCATATGTGAGTGTACCATGGTTAACAATAGTTAACCTGGCTTTATAACAATGTAGTCTTTGAAAACTCCTAATTTATCAACAGAGATGAAGAGAAACAGATTTCTGTTGATTCCCTGTTGGTTTAGAAATGACCAGTTTGTTTCTACAAATGTCGTTCAGTAGATGATCATATTACAATTTTAAGTGGCTAGGTACATGTTTGCTGAAACTAAATCATCCTGTTAAGGTAGTAATATCAATTGGAAGATTGGATTCTTTCTCCATGATGAATTTCTGTGCAGCATTGATCCCCCCGTACTCCCTATTGCCCCAAACACTGGTACTTTAGATGACTCTAGGGAATAAAGAGAAAGCTCACGCCTTTGCATTCTCTCTCCCTCTCCCAACATGGCGGCCTCAGCAAAAAAGAAGAAGAAGAAGGGGAAGACTATCTCCCTAACAGACTTTCTGGCTGAGGATGGGGGGACTGGTGGAGGAAGCACCTATGTCCCCAAACCAGTCAGCTGGGCTGATGAAACAGACGACCTGGAAGGAGATGTTTCAACCACTTGGCATAGTAATGATGATGATGTGTACAGGGCACCTCCAATTGACCGTTCCATCCTTCCCACTGCTCCACGGGCTGCTCGGGAACCCAATATTGACCGGAGCCGTCTTCCCAGATCGCCACCCTACACTGCTCTTCTAGGGAACCTGCCCTATGATGTGACAGAAGACTCCATTAAGGAATTCTTCAGAGGATTAAATATCAGTGCAGTGCGTTTACCACGTGAACCCAGCAATCCAGAGAGGTTGAAAGGTTTTGGCTATGCTGAGTTTGAGGACCTGGATTCCCTGCTCAGTGCCCTGAGTCTCAATGAAGAGTCTCTAGGTAACAGGAGAATTCGAGTGGATGTTGCTGATCAAGCACAGGATAGAGATAGGGATGATCGTTCTTCTGGCTGAGACAGAAATCGGGATTCTGACAAAACAGACACCGACTGGAGAGCCCGACCTGCCACAGACAGCTTTGACGACTCTCCGCCTAGAAGAGGTGATGACCGCTTTGGTGACAAGTATCGAGATCGCTATGATTCCGACCGATATCGGGATGGCTATCGAGATGGCTATCGTGATGGCCCACGCCGGGATCGCTATGACGACCGAGGCAGTAGAGATTATGACAGAGGCTATGATTCCAGGATAGGCAGTGGCAGAAGAGCATTTGGTCGTGGGTACCGAAGGGATGATGACCACAGAGGAGGTGGGGACCGTTATGAAGACCGACATGACCGACGAGACGATGGGTCGTGGAGAACCAGAGATGATCACTCTCGGGATGATTATAGGCGTGATGATAAGAGGTCCCCCCCAAAGACCTAAACTGAATCTAAAGCCTCAGAGTACTCCTAAGGAAGATGATTCCTCTGCTAGCACCTCCCAGTCCAGTCGAGCAGCCTCCATCTTTGGAGGGGCAAAACCTGTTGACACAGCTGCTAGAGAAAGAGAAGTAGAAGAACGGCTACAGAAGGAGCAGGAGAAATTGCAGCGCCAGTTGGATGAGCCAAAACTAGAACGGCGGCCTAGGGAGAGACACCCAAGCTGGCGAAGTGAAGAAACTCAGGAATGGGAACGGTCAAGGACAGAAAGTGAGTCATCACAGACTGGAACCTCAGCCACATCTGGCAGAAATGCACGAAGGAGAGAGAGTGAGAAGTCTCTAGAAAATGAAACACTCAATAAGGAGGAAGACTGTCACTCTCCAACTTCTAAGCCTCCCAAACCTGATCAGCCTCTAAAGGTAATGCCAGCCCCTCCACCAAAGGAGAATGCGTGGGTGAAGCGAAGTTCTAACCCTCCTGCTCGATCTCAGAGCTCAGACACAGAGCAACAATCCCCCACAAGTGGTGGGGGGAAAGTAGCTCCAGCTCAGCCATCTGAGGAAGGACCCACAAGGAAAGATGATAATAAAATAAATGGAATGAGTGTCCCAAAAGGCCAAACTGGGAACTCCAGCCGTGGTCCAGGAGATGGAGGGAACAAAGATCACTGGAAGGAGTCAGATAGGAAAGAGGGCAAAAAGGATCAAGACTCCAGATCTGCACCTGAGCCAAAGAAACCTGAGGAAAATCCAGCCTCTAAGTTCAGTTCTGCAAGCAAGTATGCCGCTCTCTCTGAGGATGGTGAAGATGAAAATGAGGGAGAAGACTACACTGAGTAGACCTCTGCGTGCTGTGCTTTCTCCTAGTCTCTCCACCCTGGAACATTCAAGAGCAAATCAAACCTCTATCCAGATAAGACAAATAAAACTCACCATCTCCTGGAGACCTTTCTTAACTTTTTTTTAAAAAATGAAATGAAATTCTTTTGCATGCTGCTGCAGCCTTTAAAGTATTGAAGTTACCGGAGAATCGCCAATGTAGCCAGAGAGACAGAGACTACAGCTTTTTAATGGAAAAGTTGTGGTGTGTTCTTACAATACCATGCAGTTGCCTGTGTGATTAGTGCCTAGGGGCCTCCATTTAGGAGAAATGGTAATGACAGTGGTAAAATGTCTGGATTGGTTGGGCAGTAGGGGAGGTAGAGGTATAAGGAAGAGTGAGATTTCTACCTTTTAATTCTTATTCTATTGTGACATATATGAATTCTCAAACATTATCTGAATAAATTTTCCATCCTTGGAAAGGTAGATTTAGTCTCAAATTGTTTTAGTCTCCAGGAGGCTGCCAGCCCTTCTTCTTACTTTAATTCTGAGTTACTGGGGCCAGCCTAGGGGGAATTCCTTTATTTTTTTTCCCCCCCGGGGGGGTAGTTGGGAGTGAGTCTACAGGCCACTAAAGAAGAGGACTGCTTGGGGACCAAAATAAATGGGGAAATCGTGGTTTGAAAAGCTTTTGGGAGGTGATGGATTAGTTTGCACTGGGTAGTAGGTGTGACCTCCAGTAAACACTTTATTTCCTGGAGCAGGAAGCACTTAGG